TTGTTACAGAGCGAGGCTGCTGGGTGCCGCCGTTCAGTAGCCGCTGGACGCCGAGCTGGCCGTCACGCCCGTCACCTGTTGTTACAGAGCGAGACTGCTGCCGTTCAGTAGCCGCTGGACGCCGAGCTGGCCGTCACGCCTGTCACCTGTTGTTACAGAGCGAGGCTGCTGCCATTCAGTAGCCGCTGGACGCCGAGCTGGCCGTCACGTCTGTCACCTGTTGTTACAGAGCGAGGCTGCTGCCGTTCAGTAGCCACTGGACGCCGAGCTGGCCGTCACGCCTGTTACCTGATTGGCGTGACGCTAGTTACATTGGCGTAACGTTAGTTGACGTTGTTACAGAGCGGGGTCGCCGGCCACCGCCGCCGCCCGACATCGGCGCGCGCCATGAGCCTCGTCCCGCCCTGTGTTCACAACCGACTCGCCGCCATACCTCCACGCCGTCGGACTGGGCAAGCGGCGGACCCACGGCCAAGGTCCCTTGCGGCAGTTGCGTCTCTCTGGGACGCTTCCTCCGCCAGGTGCGTCTCTCTGGGGATCTGTCTCCGGTAGGCGCGTCTGTCTGGGAAGCTCCCTCCAACGAGCGCATCTGTCTGGGAAGCTCCCTCCGGCGGGCACAACTGTCTGGGAAGCTCCCTCCGGTGGGTACGTCTGTCAGGGACGCTCCCTCTCAGGTGCATCTGTCTTGGAAGCTCCCTCCGGCAGATGCGTCTGTTCAGGAAGTCCCTTGGGTCGGGTGCAGTCCATCAGAGGCCTCCTTTGGCTGATGCCGCTAGATGCATAGTGCATTATTGATGTTCCATTTTCTTTAGGGTAGATAGTTACAACATGCGTGTGCTAGGGTTGATAGGTTCAATAAGGTCTGGCGACATGATCTCACCCAGGATACTCTCTCGGAGCTTCTAGCCGCGTGTCGAGAGGCGGGACAGCGGTGGCTAGTTGGTAAAGAAGCTGGTGACACACCACATATCCCTGCCCCGTGCGCGCCTCTCCAAGCCGCCGCCGCGACTCCTCGGTCAGTTGGCCCGCTCGCTCCTGTCCGCGTTGTGATTGTTGTTACCGTTCGTTCGTCTCAGTACGCGAGTGCTACAGTTGCAGAACGTATACACACAATTGCATATACAGATAAGCACACGGATATCGGTTGTATGACGTATCCAACGAATGTCTGCTCGGTTAGATGAGTCGCTTGCGTTTATATCTCAGTGTGGTCCTGTGCACGTGGCGGGGAGGGCGGGGGCCCGGCGCGACGCGGCCACGCCCGGCTGCTCGCCTCGCAGGCAGAGTCGTAATATCGTAGCAATAACGTGACTGGGGCCGGCCGACGTGGCGGCGCGGTCAACGCGGCGGCGCGGCCGGTGCTGTGTGGCCGCGTGTGGCGTGGTGCCGCACCACCCTGCCGGGGGGCCGGCCCCGCGGCCACCGTGGCTGGCACGTGTCCGTTCGCCGGCGCTGTCCGCCTCCTCGTCACACACGTTACGTCGCTTGAAAGTCGTGTGACGCATGAGTTCTACATTTAATCCACATTCTTGTTTATAAGAGAGCAGTACGCGAACGCTGTACTTGTTAGGGAAAACCCGTTGCGTAAAAGGTGCTAGGCCCTGTGGCAGCGTTAGTACCGTGGTGAGCATTTTCTTATCATTGTCGATGTAATTGCGGTGTAGATACATCCAAATGTGAGAAGTGAAAATATTACGGAACAATCAGCACGCCGTAGTTTTATTGCGGCACCATCCCGTGTGGTTTGCTGCGTGGAGGCCAGCGCCGCTGAACCCGGGAGAGACGGACGGACCAGCGGGCCGCAGCACGCGCTCCACGAAGTTGCCGCGTAGCGGAACTCGCTCATTGAACCCGAACTGAACCCTCTCATGAAGCAACTCAGAAAGTGCCGGTCCGTGTCCCGGCGGTTGCATTTCGTACAAAGAACGATGATACCGAGTCCATAAAACACTTATAAGAACACCAAAAATGTGGAGGAATCTTACCATGTCTTCATTATTATGAATATCCCAAATTTCATGTGTCTGTGCACTTCTGCGTATGTGCTGTCACAAGCCCAGAATAAGTGCGGCATAGTATAGTTCTCTAACCCCGGTAGGTTGAAATGACCGCATTGAAGCACCACTGAGGTCATGATACCTCACTGGGGTCGCAAACATTGGACTATCTTTTAGCATGTCACCCACTACATATAAGCGAAGAGGGAGGCAAATGACAAAGAAGCCGATGGATACAAGAAATTCGAAGATTCGAATTCGGAGCCCTACAAGCCTAAGCCGTCCGCGGCCGTGTCAGTCGGGGAGGCAGACATGAGAGACGGAAGGCGGACATGGCAGCCGGGAGACGGACATGGCAGCCGGGGAGCGGACATGGCGGCCGGGAGGTGGCCATGGCGGCCGGAAGACGGACATAGCAGATGGGAGGCAGACATGGTGGCCGGGAGGCGGAAATGGCGGCCGGGAGGCGGACATGGCGGCCGGGAGGCGGACATGGCGGCCGAGAGGCGACCATGGTGGCCGGGAGGCAGACATGGCGGCCGGAAGATGGACATAGCAGATGGGAGGCAGACATGGTGGCCGGGAGACGGACATGGCGACCGGGAGGCGGGCATGGCGACCGGGGAGCGACCATGGTGGCCGGGAGGCGGACATGGCGGCCGGGAGGCGGCCAGGCACCCGGTTCCAGATGACGGCCACGTGCTGCTCCGGAGTCCCAGCACAAGACCAGGACATGGTGCATTGTCAGAGGCTCCAACGACGCGAACACGACGGTGGCTCTTCTCCACAGAACGGGACAGGTAGGTGGACAGCGAGTAGCGTAGCCATTCCTTTGGGCGAATCTAATGTATGCAGAATCTGCTAAGGCTATTGTAGCTCTGCTGATGTGACGCGCGGGCTGGCTGAGTGTCGACGACATGACGCTGATCGGAATCAGCGTCTCAAATCAAATCCGGTTCCCCGCGCCTGTCGGCCGGGTGATCCGCCGTCGATCGACCCTCGAGCAATGCTTACCTGTCTGGGAGACAGCGGGTTCAAACTGTTATGCTCACCGGCATAGACAGCTCAGGAGGCACATCCCACATGGTCTGATCATGTGTTGGGTTTTTGTTTACACCATGTTGTTCCGGCATGCTGTCGAAACTGTCCTGAGGGGTTAAAAACCGCTCCTCAGGTGTCCATATTCGAGGTACTGAACATGGTTTCAAAAAAGGTACAATAACTACTGCGGTCGACGCGCTCTTCAAATCCAATAACTAACTACCTAACCCATTTTGTCCGTCAGCTCAGGCATGCCGCATTGTACGGGCCCGAGCGCACACGCGTGGCAAAGCGGCGCTATGGCTTGATCCGGATGGCCGATTGGCACGATCCGTATTTCTCTCTCTCTCTCTCATCATCGCTCGTAACCGGGAAGCATCGAGGCAGCGTGCTCACCATCAACACGCTTAAGTCCTCCCGATCGCAGTAGATGGAGCTGCTTACGCTACGTGGGGCCGGGTCACCATCATTCTCGGGCCCGTCTCCTTTGACACGGGTACCGCCTCTGGGCCGGATTGCGGCGTGCGGCGACGAGCCTGCTTGGGGCGCCGCGTCCATGGCCTTGCCGGCAGCATCAGGTACATGCAGACGGGAGTCGATCTCCTCGGCTTCGTCGTGGCCTCGAAGAACCTGGATCTCCTGCTGCGCCTTGTGCACGTGGTGGGATAGATCGTCACCTACCTGTCGCTGGCCTTAACGTGATGCGCGAGACCGAGGATTCGGCCAGGTAGCGCCCAGAATTGAGACCGAACGTTCTCTCGAAAGTCCTGCAGATCCCGCGCCAGACCTGCTATGACAATTGTCTAACGTCTCGTACACGCGTCAAGACCGTCTGTCGTGTCCTGAGGTCCGGGCCCGTCAGCGGGTTGGCCCATGGCGGCCACGCGACGGCGCCCTTGCGACAGGCAGCGCTGTGTCGTTCGACTCCGACCGTTGACTTTGACCGAACTGCTTCCGTCTCTCATATGCCGTGGTGGAGTCGTCGGTACTTCACAGCCGAGCGGTGAGCCCATAGCACGCAGCGCCCCGCCTGTCGCTTCATCGCCTCAGCTACCGGGCATTACCGCCGCAAGGAGGCTGGCGAGGTCGGCGCATCGGAATTGGCGCGATCACATCAGGCCACAGACTGATGTGATACAGACGCTTGTGACGCAGATATTGCGCGATGCAGCTACTTGTGACACGGATACTTGACAAGGGTCTGTGTTAGGACAAGTTATGTTGTCTGTGTTATGACAAGGGTACTTTTATGATACGGATACACGGATATTCGTGCTATGGATGCTTGTTATGATACTGATATATGATACAGACAACGCGCCGCTCATTCCGCGGCCATCATTCCATAATAGTAGAAATTAACGCACAATGTCGGTTTCTGAGTCAGCATCCCGCACCTGGTCCCGCTCTCAGCTCCGCCCGTGAATCCTCCATCCGCGATCGTCCATCCATCGCCCGTAAATCCATCGTAAATCGTGGCTGAGCGGTAAGCGGGGAGCGCACGGCCGTCCTGCACCATGGTCAGACAAGGCCACGGTTCGGCAGCGGACCCCGCTGCGTTCTGGGAGTCCGTCTCAGCGTACTCGGCACTGCAGTCTCCGGTGACAGAACACGGAACACAGAACACAGAACACCCGCGGGACAACACTCCTCGGGGGCAAACACGCAGACGAGTGAATGCTACCGAACATGACTGCAGAGATGTTTATTCACCTGAAATGCTTGGCCTAATGGTCTATACACGCAGGGCAGATGCAGGCAGGGTCCATGCATAGAAAAACTGACGAAGAACTTTGGTTTGCAACTGCACGCTTACGAAATGATAGTGAAAAAACAGATCTACTTCTCATGCGAACAATGACGTTCCGTTCCGGTCTATATGAGGCGTACGCAAAAACAACATAAATCGCGGATGCCATCAATTGATGGCGTCCACGAACGACTCAGGGCGCAGACAAGTCACATGGTAATTTGCCTTTATTACAAATGTTATGATGGGTGGATGCCAGGAAATATCCACAGCTGGCGATGCGACCGAGCACGTTGTCTACCTCACAGCACATATGCCAGCAGAACGCTCGGAACCAGGTGAGCATGTAAGAGCCTCACAGCTCACGCCCGCCCCAGGCTGCCACGGCGCGTGAGAGCACACGAGTCCCGCGAATCACTTGGCACCGAGTAACAATGACAATACCCGCTCGTCCAGGCAGCCTGTGTGCACACTAGCTACGTGGACATTAGCTCAGTCAAACGTGAACAATAGTCGCGACAGGAATGGCAACGGCATCGGCCGGAAGGCACGAGATTGCACGCAAACTCCGCAGGCGTTCGCACGGCCCCGGATCACACAGACTCACCGGCTGCGGCCGGGCAGGGCTGGCCCGGTCCGGCCCGCTGCACTGGACTCCGGACCGACCTTCGCGACCGCCCCGCGAGCGCCAGGTGGCGGCCGCCTCCCAGCCAGCGCCCGCATCCTCCACTGCCGCGCCGGCAGTCAGACTCGGTCAAAAGCGCTTGCCCCGACCTAGACCTCGACCTCGACCCCGACCGCGACCTCGACCTCGACCTTGACCGCGACCGCGACCTCGAACGCGGCGGCGACCGCGTGCGCTGCGCCACCAGTCACGCCGCGTCGCGCCGGCCGCACCACCGGCGCCCACCGCGAACTGGTTGTGGTAGTCGATGTAGGAGTCGGTCTGAGCGCTGATGCGCTGGAAGGCGGGCGACAGCGGCGCGGCGTCTGTGGGCGACGGTCACAGCCCGTAACCGACGGCGGCCCGGCAGCCCACGCGCCAGTGTTATTGGGCGCTGCATGACCTGCAGTCGATGCGCCCGAAAACCCCAAATCACACCCGCACACCAAATGGCCAACAGACGAGCCGACGCACAAGCAGCGATGCTATGAGATGTCTGTGGCAGCGAAACAGATGGAGAACACGGGGTAGCGAACACCATCGATATCCGCGGCGTTAACTGCTGCGGCACATCTCGTCATGACACAACCGTCCGCAGCGTCCGTCTGCAGTCGCATGCAAGCGGGTGCTCAGACTGCGAAATCGGCGAATACCGCACGGCCGCGGTGACCGTCCGCACCTGCGGAGGAGGTCGAGGCCAGATGGTCGCTGGGGAAGCTGTTTGAACGTGGTTCGGTCGGCGCGTGGGCGCCCGACGTCCGTGTCGGTGACAGGTCTCTATCTGCAACGAGAATCACGGGGCCCTTCGTCTGGCGGCCGTTTCCGTAACGCGTCATCGGTACATGAGTGGCAGCGGTTGTACTTTTTTCTGGATTCGGTCCGAACCTTTCGATCACATGAATTTCCCAACATCAGCACAAGCGCCAAGTCGTGCTTGTGCGGGCCCAGATTCCAACATCCGGTGATCCAACATCCGTGAAATCTCGGGTCAACGGTGCAATGTCGCGGCAAGAGCTGAACGTACCGCAATGCCCGGCCCGTCCGTCCTGCCTCTGACGTCACCTGGCCTTTAAGGGCGGTAGCCGCCACCAAATGCAGGTCGTCCCAATCACGAGCACATCGCGAGCGCCTTAAGCGACCCCGACCCACCTCGCCACGGGCGGGCGAGTCGAAAGGTAGGCGCCCCCTGACCCACCCAACTACCGGGGCGCTCGATGTCGGACGGTCACATACGTGGTGGATTGTGGCAGAGACTGTACAATAAGCTCCTGCGAGCAAGCGACAAATGAGCCACAATTTTTTAACGTGGATTCGCACGAACAACGATTTATCTTGAGTAATTTTCCGCTGCAACAGTTTATCCCACCTTACATAGTTATGAGGGAGTTTCCCCGCTACGTAGTTCTTCCGACACGTTAAGAACACATTACGTTACTAATAGCCCGTAGCACCGCACAAGCGGCGGGCTGATGCCGCCAGACGACGGGGAGGGAACGGCCCCGATACTTACGGCGGCAGCTTACCGGCCGTGTCCCGTATGCAAGTCTCCACGTGCTCCAGGTAGTCGGGACCCTCGGGCACCAGCTGCAGGCTGATGCCGCCAGACAACGGGGAGGGAACGGTCCCGATACTTACGGCGGCAGCTTACCGGCCGTGTCCCGCCGCTCCCGTATGCAAGTCTCCACGTGCTCCAGGTAGTCGGGACCCTCGGGCACCAGCTGCAGGCTGATGCCGCCAGACAACGCGGATGGAACGGTCCCGATACTTACGGCGGCAGCTTACCGGCCGTGTCCCGCCGCTCCCGTATGCAAGTCTCCACGTGCTCCAGGTAGTCGGGACCCTCGGGCACCAGCTGCAGGCAGACTCGACAGCGCTGGACGCCGGTGGGTGTCCTGCGATGACGGCCGACAGCGGTTCAGCACCGACACTCGTCTCACTCAGGCCCGGTCTCAGCCCACGCAACCAGTGCCCCCTCCCCCCCCCTCGAGCAATTGTACAGTTATACAACTGGTTAGCAGATGCCTCGTTTCGGGTGTAAATCGCGGCTTACATGATAAATAATGACAACACATCTCATCTAACCAAAAGCTTCTTCCGGTTTTTCGTACAATGAGCACGTACCAATAACGCGCAGCAGAATACACACAAAAAAGGTAAAATCTAATCAGCCAGATGTGCCGGCAGTGCACAGGGTGGCGACCATTCCCATAACTCATCACACCCCGAGCCACCTGACTTACATCTTCATGTTTTTCCCGCATCTTCCGAATATGACCTTATTCTCGCCGACATCACAACACGGGACCGATTAGTGTCACAGCGCTTCCCCGACGTGTCGATACCGGGCGGGAACTGTTCAGTTCCGGCCACCACTCCCCGATCTAATCACACAGAGCCACGGGCACCGCCCACGGACCGCTCTCAGTGCGGCTCCGCAGTGCGCGGGCTGATCGCCGTCCGGCGGCTCACCGGGCGCGGGTTCTGAGCAGTGGGGCGGGGTCCGGTCTCGGCTCTGGCGACGGGCTCTCCCGAATCTCCACCACCTCGTCAATGGTGCAGCCGCTTGCGTGACCCTGACGAAGATAGGTGTGGTTGGGTTCCGGTAACAGTCGCATGATGCGTGCGGAAGACGGTTCGCGTGGTAGCTGCACCTGACGTTGATATGCTGTTATAAATACCTCCCTACGGAACAAACATGGTTACATGTTTGTCACCGACTCAGACGTTGATAGTTCTTTGCTGTTCCCAGAACACTTATATTCAAATACATTGGTGCTTAACGAAGTATCAGGGACGCATCCTGTATCTCCTGCCCACATTCTCCATAACTTTACCTCAATTCTATCCTGCGGAAAGTAGATGCCACAGAGAGGACATTCCACCTGGCCGGGAGCGCCGCCCGCTGCGTCAGCCGGCGGCGAGCCGCGCGCGCCGTCACCGCGCCCCGTCTCCGTCCGGTTGGCAGACGATGAGGCGGCGGCGTCTCGCCCCACCGACAGCCGGCTGGTGACAGGCCGCGGACCTGCAGGCGACCCGGCTGCTGGACCGGCAGCTGCAGACGGTCCGGCTACTGGATCGGCAGCTGTAGATGGTCCGGCCGCTGCACCGGCAGCTGTAGATGGTCCGGCTGCTGGACCGGCAGCTGTAGATGGTCCGGCTGCTGGATCGGCAGCTGTAGATGGTCCGGCTGCTGGACCGGCAGCTGCAGACCGTACCACTGAGATCTTCCCGGCTGCAGGCCAGTCAGCTGGTGTGCGAGCGCCTGCGGACGGCCCCGCCGACGTCCGACCAGCTGCAGAAGTTCCCGTCGCTGTCCCGACCGCCGCATGCGTCCGTGCCGCTGGCGAGACTACGCCGGCTCGTGAGGATGCCGCACGCTCCTCATCATCTGACGATGACGACACGACGGCGGCGGACGTCGAGCCCACCGCTGATGGCGGCTTGGAAGAGCCGTTGGGCATTTTCTGCGGCAAGCAGTAACATGGCCGGTTCAATTGCGGAGCCCAACGCCCAATTCACAGCAGCCGATTCTAGTGCACAATGCCTGACTTTCTTTCAGGCTTTCGCGTGGCACAACAAATCATAATTCATGGGACGTTAATTTATTATTGGTTGGAAAGTTAAGAATGGCACACTGAACCGCAAAGCACGCAACTTATGCAGGATTGTTGCAAAAGACGCTCTTCTGGCTGTTTATCGCCCACGAATACATCCTTTTGGCCACATGATTGAAGAAAATGTCGATGAAACGTGTTACAACACAAAAAACGACGTAGACATCCGTCTGAAGACAACAGCTAAGGGAGACAATACAAATGCACCTAGCGGGGATCTGATCAGCTATCAGTGGGCCAGCCGAGCACCAGATGAGCACTTGACCCCAAGCGTATGCGTTCTGCGGCCACCGTGCCGGGCCTAGCTTCTCACCCGAACGCGTGTCGTCAGCGGCACCATGGAGCGGGCAGGCGGCCGGTCCGACTGTGAGCGCGGCGCCGCCGGAACCCGCAGCACACCGGGCCTGATGTCGGCCGCCGCTTCCACGCGCCGGCGCTTGCCCGCGGCCGGGCCGCCTCCGGGACTCGGCCTGCGCCGGCGCACGGGCGGCGACGCGGCGTCAGCCGGCGGCGGCTCCCCAGCCTCCCAGGCCGGCGCGGCCGGATGCTCGGGCAGACGCGGTAGACGCGGCGGCGCCTCCCGCTGCCGACCGGACGGCGGCGCGCCCTCAGGCAGCTCGGGCGGCGCCTCCTTGTTGCGGAGCTTCAGCGCGAGCCTGGCCGCTGGCGTCTTCCTCGCCCTGGCGCCTAGTGACTGCAGCAGCAGGCGTTGGCCGCGCGAGTGCCGGCGGCCCTCGTCAGCCGGAGCAACTGGCGACGCGGCTCTGGCCGGCACCGCCACCGGCTCGGAGTCGTCCTCCGGCTCACTCCCAGCCTCTCCGGCGACGACTGGCCCCGGCGGCGCGCTCGGGAAGCGTCTGGCGGCGCTGGCGACGGGCGGCAGCGACGCCTCCTGGAAGCCGCGCGTTGGCACGACGTCCTCGCCCTCCGTATCGGACGGAGGCTGAAGCAGCAGCTCACGCTCCTCCCGCTGCAGATACTCGAGGACGCGCTGCAGCTCGGCCTCGTGCGCAGCCTCGCCGCTCAGCCGGCCCGCCAGCAGACGCTCCGCCTTCACGGAGCGCTCCACCCGCTCGCGTTCTCCCGCGTGGCTCACGTACCAACGCGGCGGCGAGACGGAACACTCACGAGACGGCCGCCGGTTCGGCGACGGCTGGGTCGGCGGCTGCGGCTGGTCTCCGTCGGCGGCAGGCGCAGACCTGTTCAAATCGCACGAGGACTCCGACGCACCCAGATGCTCCCGCGGGTCCCCGACGGGAGAGGCCGCCGCACGGCCCAGGCTCTCGGGCGTGTCCGGTGCGCGTGCGCTGCTTGGCGGCGAGTTGGGAGCGTGGCTGGGTGCGTGCAGCGGCCGCCGCCGCAGGAGGCCGATCAGCGGCGAGGCGTCTGCTGACTCCGAACCGGCCGCCGACGGCGCCCTGCTCGCGGTGTCCGGCGGCGTTGGAGAGCTCTGCATGACACAACCAGTGACATCTGCTCACCAGCTGATGGACTGTGGCAGACAGGTCTGGGGTGCTGCATGAGGTCACAAGGAGGCAATCTGTGGGAAGCAGGCCCATCAGTAGGACACCTTACTGACAGCCTCAGCTCATTAGAACAAACCTTAGGCAATCACAAAACAAACAAAAAAAACTTCAGTTTCATAACAATCACACTTATCTTTGATATTATATGACTTATGCATCACAGCACCTGGAAAATAGTAGTTAACTTTTAGATGCTATCACTTGAGCCTGCTCCAGACAAAAAAGACTGGTAAAAACCATGGGCTCTAAACAAGTTTACTTGACAAAATATGGCTAATCATTACTGTAAGTATGGCGAGATCACTATTTTGGCTGTTGAGTCTCTCTTCCTTTTGTGCTGATATTTTTGATAACTGTAGCACAGTTATCATCTCCCTTTTTTCTCTGGTGTCCATGCCATCTTCCAACAGGCCACAATCTGAAACAGAAAGCACCACATGCAATCTACATGCTGCATGTTTTCCTCCAAGTGCAAAAGCTCAGTGGAAAATCATATTTGTAGCAATGCTTACTGTTTCCCTATTATGTGACACCCATGGTTAAAATGAAATAGCAAAACACAAATGAATGGTGGAATATGAACCAGTCATAATGTTTATAACAAAGCACATTCAAAACAACAAGGAGTTCTGACAGACTGGGGACTAGTGGGCACAACATCCTGATGGCTCTTCCAAGTTGAAGCTTGCACAATACATCATAATCAGTCATGTCATGTCACTGGGGCTTTACAACGCACTCAGCTGCTGAGGCCATCTGGGGTTGCCTGCCTCTCACCCTGGCAGGAAGGGCAGGCACCGAGGGGAATCAAACCGTACCTCTGGTTTCCCAGATGTGCAGTGGCTATCACAGACATGTGAACCACTACACTACTGGCACCCCCACATTGTTATCAGCCTGGGTCCAGCACCCTGCCTCTGTCCACAGTGGCTGATGCAAAAAAGCACACCAACAATCATCCAGAACAAACCAACCAGCCTTGATTATGTGATGGGAATATACATGTGGGCATATGGGTATTTTGTACAGAACATTTGGATACAAACAGTATGGGATGCTTGACAAATTATTCAACTGGAGAGGAATGCTCTAATTAAATGACAGGGGTCAGCCAATTATTCAGTTTAGTGTTAAGGATGCATGGACTGCATTGGCTATTAGTGCCTAGATGAGAAAAGTACCAAAATATGGCTATGTTCATAACTGGATATGGTGCGAGCATTACCTTCAAGAATTGCATCCATTTCATGGTCTGTCATTTGCTCACTGGTTGTTGGCACTGCCATTATTGCGGTGCTGTCAGCACAATGTCTGAAACACATTTCAGAAATACCATGCATTACCCAAAGTTCGTACATTGGCTCACGGACACCAATAAAAGTTGCCACGATTTAAATAGATGCAAAAAATTATGTTCTTCCCATAAAATTTGGCGATTGCTGCAGGTTAGGACAAACTGAACTGGCCGTCTGTCAAGAAGCCCATACAGTATTGATCAGTATATGCACCAGATATGTGAATTTTTCTGACACCCTCAGGCTTCGTATCGTTGTCACACATAATACCAATAAATGGCGTTTTTCCCACACCCACCACCAACCCAGTTTCCATCAACCCGGCGTACGACCGGTGGCACGGCCGTCAGCCCCTTAGTCAGGGGGTCAGGGCCTCTCAGTGTATCTGGCAGCTCGCCCATCTCCCCCCCCCCCCCCATGACGTCACCGCGGGGCCCCTGTGCAAGTCACAGCATTGTATCTATAGCAAAGGGTCTTTTTCAGAGGCAGGTTTGGGGCAGAGTCACCAGGTACAGATAGACTTAACGCTACCAGTAGCAGAAAAAATGTGTTTTTTCCCCTACACGAAGAGTCGTTTCGGCATTCAACGCCTGAACTTTAACACAACTTATTTTGCACGGCGATTGCAGCGTTGACACAGGTGGCGATACTAGAACCAAACCTACGCGTATGGATGACACTAGCGTTGGCCATGGGTTTACGTTGTTCATCCCGTTGTCTCAGATATTTGTCTCATGTTATCCTAAACGTCCTCCACGTCTGCATGTAAGCTGTACTTGATGGATCTCATGACTGGTAAATATTTATTTCTTCTCATGTTTTGGTCATCGAGACATACCCCATCTAAAATGTCTGTCGTTCCATTGCAGATGAAGTTCTCACTGCATTGTTTACTCACATGTGTGCGGCTGTAAAATTGGATATTTAAGTCAGGGCTTAGCACCTATTTTGTGATGAAATTTAAGCTTGCGATTTTTTGGAATATTGAATGGGCTTAATTGCAAGTTTTTTCATGTTCTCCCAGTAATAGTGGACCTCAGACATGTGCTCTTGTCCGCTCAAGATACTGATGGCATTGGTTGTTATAGCTGAGCTGTTCGTGTCAGAGGATTTTATAGATATTAATTGTAGCACGTTAGCATACCATTATTATCAGCATATCAATGAAACAAGTACCAGCATGTTTTGCACTCAACCGCCTCAACTCTGTGCAGGTATTAATGTGGAAGGGTGTAGCAGGATCACAAAACCTGACTTTTCCGTATTTGCCCAACATCACAGGCTACCTGTAAATGGCATGGTAAAGACCACAGTCTGTTGAGAAATGACGGAATGCGCCGCCACATTAGAAAAAGAGTAGGACACATGCCCAACATGCCTACAAAAGCTGTTTATTCTTACGTTGGTCATGTCGGGTGGTCGCGGCATGACGATGACGTGCATTGACGTAGCTTAGGCGGATAAACGTACGTAGACGCGTTGACTGATAATGACTTGGTGGTCGGCATTCGGTTGGTTGTGCCTGAACACAACTTCAAGTCCCTCATAGCCCGTGGCTGGCGAGAAATGCCGTCAGGTTCATTGTGGTGTTTTGGGCAAATCGTTCGGTGGATCGGTTTGTAGATGTCCAACCAGCTTTGGGATGGAATTGTCAGGCCACCAACGCTCGTCAGCTGTGAAGGATCTGCAGAGGAGCACGCTCGTCTGTGAGCGCTGAGGGAGCACCCAGGGTATAGTGGACAGTTCTCATCTTGGCTGCCACATGTCCGGAACGGTGTGCCCAGGCGTTTTTTTTCAGCAGGTACACCGGTCGTTCGGTCAGCTGGGCTGGGAGCCAGTGACATTCGTCTTGAGCTGCCACTCTCCAGTTCAAGCAGCTTTTCCATCTCTTGTAAGTCCTGTTCAGCCCGCAGATCCTCAGTTGTTTTGTCTTCGTAGAGATCGCACATCTCTTCCGGTGAGCTAGGAACGATAATGTGTCCGTGGTTGTTTTCTTTAGACAGTGGGTTGATGTCCAGCTTGAGAAGGCACTGCGGAGTCAGGTTTTTCATCACGCATTTTACTTCTGTTGGGCTTGGATGTAGGCTTGCACCTTCTTCCCACGAGCAAGACCGAACAATGGGTCCAGGAGATCCTGGATGACATGTCCGGTAAGTGTGTGAGTTGTTGGCCAAGTGCCCGCTTCATGTCTACCATGAGCTCTCACATAGGCCCTTTGGTGAGGAGAAAGCCCTGCCGGAAAGAGAGTTGTGAAAGTCGGTGACCGAATCGCGTATGAGCGATGACATCTTCGAACTTTGCCAGGACGTCCAGTTGTTTGACGTCTCGGTCCGAGCCACAGCGCAGCGGCTCTGCATCGGACGGCGTGCGCGCATCCAAGACGTCAGTCGCCTGGTTGCACGCTTGTATGAACTGGCTGACAGCCACCTTGTCTGGCAAAGGTCGCCTCACGGCAGTGGTAACGGGAGCGCTCAGGAGCTGGGCAGCCGGACGGACCTTTTGACGCGCCTGGTTTGTCACATGTGGGACAGACAGCGCATATTAGAGAAAAGCACATGATCTGCGGCATGGAACAACACGTCGTAGCATGCATTTCTGCATGTGACTCCAGCTTGCG